TGGGCAGCTCGTGTCATCCTTTGATCTTTTATCTCAAGATTCTGTACAGGCAACACCACTTGTTCCATGACCATCAATGAGGAAGCTCCTGTCATAACGGGCTCTTCAATTATCCTTGTTTGTGGAGGTGAAGACGGTCTTGCCTTTAGAATAGAGTGATAGAAATCTCTTGCCTTTAAATCTGTACTTAATCTGTAACATATTCCATCATAATTCATTACTATTCTTCTTGGAATCTCCCATCTGAACTGGATTTGACGACGTTTTAACTCATCAGACAGAAAAGTAAAATCTTTTCTACCTCTTAAAATTTTTGGAGATATTTCTTTTAAAATTATCACATCTTGAGCTGCAATTTGAAACCTCTTTTTATAAAAAGCCTGTATAATTTCATTACGAATAGATCTTCTGGAAAAGTAAATAACCACATCTCTTGGTAAATTTCTCTGTCTAGCAACCCGTGAGTTGACTCTGAAGATTCATTCCCAACTTCTTCTGGTCTCCATCCAAGATTAAAAGCAATATCTCTAACAATAAGCATCTTCAAATCTTCCTGGGAATTTTCTTTAAATCCTTGGATACGCAATGCAAACTCCGTTTCTCTGTATTGTGAAATTGTTTGTTCATCCTGTGTAACTTCTATCTTATTCTCCACTTCCTCCATTCTAAATTCCAGTTTTGCTGCATTTTCAGTAATCTCTTCCATTTTATCATCAATCCTTTCAATATGCAGGGCAAGACCAGAAAACGCAAATAGTATGTCTTCTATGACTTGCTTGTTCTTTTTCTCCAATAATTCTTCTGTAATAGCCCTATCTGCAATTATAAGATCTTTTACCTCCTCTTTAATATCCAAAGCAGTCATTTTTAAAGCCTCTTGTAAATCTTTGAGAGAGATTGCAGGAGGAGGAGAGGGTGGGGGTGATTTTGGTTTAGACCAGGGGTAGTCAACCTTGGCTCTTTTATGACTCGTGGACTTCAACTCCCAGAATTCCTGAGCCAGCTGTGCTGGCTCAGGAATTCTGGGAGTTGAAGTCCACGAGTCATAAAAGAGCCAAGGTTGACTACCCCTGGTTTAGACTGAGAAGCAGGCTGAGTCATTGGGGAGGAGATGGAAGCTTTAGGGACAGAGACCAAACGTTTTGAAGCCATTCTGTTAAGTTCAAAGGAGCAAAATTCTTGCCTCTATAATATCACAGTTCTTTAAATAATAATAAAAAAAAGAAAGAGGAACAAAATTCTTGCCTCTATATTTAAAACGTGAACTTTTAACTTTGTTACAAAGTCAAACAAGAAAGACAGTCGCCATTTTGCCTTTCATTTTCCCTTTCTTCAAAAAGGAAAGTAAACAAAAAAGGGGGGGGGGAAGATGCTTGCAGGAGTTAAAGTCACAATAAATCTTAAATCCACTTTCTCCTGATCTGCTCCGTCTGCATTTGAATACTCACAAGCCTCCAAAAAAAGCAGATGTGGGAGCGGTGCCTTGCTTCATCCCAGAACTTCGGGACAAAGACGTCCTGGAGTGCGGAGTTGGCTCAGGCTCCGAGGGAGTTCTACCCTCCGATCCCTGAAATTATGGGGATCCAGGGGAGCTCTTACCTCTACCTGAGCAGCTCTTCTCTTCCCTTTCTCCCAGGGAAGAGATTCAAGCCGCAGGACAGCTGATTATAAAAGTCCTGCGGCTTTTACACAACCCAGGAATGGGCTGCTTTGTGAAAAGCAGTCATCGTAGCTGCTTGATCCACAGGATCAAGATGTTAAGTTGACAGATGAAACCCACTTAAACACATACAATATGTGCAAGAATGATTTTTTTCTGTGAATTAACTTAAAATATTCCCTCCTGATAACTTTGGGCCATTCTTACAAATATAGAGAGAGAAGGACAAAAAAAAAAGGAACACAGTTCTCTTCCTCCTGTTTTGCTGGCCAGACAAATTGGAGTGAGGGAATTTTCCTTTGCTTTGCTTATTTTACCGATTTTTTTTCTAACAGAATTTAAAATTCCTTCCTCTTTAGATTATAGACATTTAACAGTTACTTTTACCTCATACACAAAGACTTTGACAAACATGCACACACAAAGACAAGGGAAAGAGAACAGCATAGGAAACAGAACTCTTAGTTTTACACATTCTGGTCATTCCCACCATAAATCTCAGTCAGCTCAAATTAGGGAAGGTACCAATCTTAAGCGTATCACTTGGTTGCATAGAAAGAAAGAAAGAGAGAGAGAGAGAGAGAGAGAGAGAGAGAGAGAGAGAGAGAGAGAGAGAGAGAGAGAGAGGAGAGAGAAATCACTATTCCTATATTTTATTTTATTTTTTCTTTTAAGTACCTTTATTTAGCCAAATTGGTTTCCCAGCAAAGCCCTGAGCAAAGCCCATTCCTTACAAATTTCCCTTTATCATTTTTAATTCATACTGGATAGGACGGGCACTCGCCTCTCATCTCACACCACCAACAATTTCCTAGAGGGGATCTGGGCCTGACCCTAAGCCTCCTATGTTCCCTTTCAATGTGGGGTTCAAATGGCTTAGTTGGGTCTTTCCCCATGACTAAACTTACTGCTCTGCCTATCAGTTTTCAGACCAAAAATTTAAAGAATGGTCTGGGAGAACTCTGGTTCCCTAGTAGAGTATGGGCACTTCCTTCAAGGGAACATTGCCACGGTTTTTGGACCCAAAAGGGGTCCAGGAGGACCCGCCGCTCCCCTATGTTGTGAGTATGGGCACCTCCTTCCAATGGCCTTTTCCTTGCTCACACTACTTTACACTTCCTGTTCATACTTTCCCGCTTTCACTTTTCCCACAATGGTTTTCAGACTCAGGAGATCCTGGGAGGACCTGTTGCTTCTTCCAAGAAGTGAGTACCAGCACCTCCTAATCCTGATCTGGGCTTTGCTCACTGATTTCCCAGCTGGTTGCCCAAATCCAATTCTTTCAGTCACTTTTCCATTCCATTTTCACACAGCCTCTCCCTTCTCCTTACAAAAGGTCCTGCACTCCAGCCAAACCCCTATGCTTTCCAGAATCTGTTGGTTGAACAGATCTTTTGGCGGTTAGGAAAGGCCAGAGGGCGCAAGATCCAACTCTGTTTGGGGAAAGGGTCTTCTCTTTCACACACACAGCCATACATACATTTCCCTCGCTCTCCTGGGTTTTAAAGTTATAATTTAGAGGTACTCACCTTCTTTCCAAAGCAGCCCTTGAGCTCAAACTCAAAACTCCCTTTACTACCCCTGCTCAACTGGGCAGGGTCTGGTAAACTCATCCACAGACACAAAGGGTCTGCTGCCAGCAAGATGGAGGCTTACTCAGTCTCAGTCCTTTGGAGAGGTTGCTTTAGAAAGAAGTGGTGGGTTCAAATAATTTAACACCCAGTTCTCCACCTCACCTTCCTCCGCTTTGGTCAGGATGGGCTTCTCGGGGGGTCAGCTGGGATGGGGGCAGGAGGTCCCAGCAGGGTGGGGGAAGGAGGGTATGGTTGAGGAGGGGGCTGCAGAATTTTGGACTGGGGTGGGTGCAGGAGGATGGGGGGTGTTGAGTCCTCGGTTAATGGCAATGACAGCTCGAGACATTCTGTGGTTTCAGGAACTCTTTATTAGTCTTCAATAACCCCTGTTACAACTCTGAGCAGCACAAGCCTCTCAGCCTCTCTTAAAGACAAATCCCGGGCCAAAAAGCAACATTTAGGCGCGCGGCGTGCCTCGCGCATGCGCACGAGCGCTGGTGCCAGCCAGTCTGGTCCCGGGCAGCTTGCAACTGCCTGGGACCATTGTAACGTCCCGAGCCTGCCTCTGCAGGCTCAGGACACAACACCCCGTCCCCCCTGGCTAAGACTACATGAATAATTACACGCGACCTCAACACGAGCGTGGTGTGCCCACCCTTGCTCAATGGTACCATGCTATTGTTCTGGGCATTACTTCCCAGTGTCCCATTTCCGGCTTCCACAGAAACACACTCTTACTGTTTCTGCTTGGCCAGCAAAGTTATAAAATCTTCAAGATATTTGGGAGACCTCTTATCTCTCTTTGATCTGCGTAGGCCTTGATAATTCCCAGGTACACTTTGTCCAGAGGAGGCTATAGGTTCACCCCCTTTCTCAGACCCTGGTGGCCCCCATGGACCATGCCCTGTTGCCTGGCCTGCTTGCTTGCCCACCGGCTCGTCAGACCAGGACTTTGCTCTCTCTCTAACCTGGTTGACCTGCCTAGTTGCAGGCGTTCTGTCCCCTCTAGGAGGCTGCCTCTGTTGGGCAACTCTGAAGAGTCTCTCGAGCCCACACTGGACCTAGCATGAGGCTGCCTTCCTCCACTCCCCAGTTCCATAGCAGGACTGTCTGTAATTTCAGTACTGTCCCAAAACTCAGTTGCCCCCTCCGTTGAATTAGAGGGTTCAGGATCTAGATTTGGCCCTTCTATCACTTCCCTGTGGAAGTGTCCTTTTCTGGGGATGGTGGCGATGTTGGGCCAATTGCATTGATTGTGTGCCAGCTCTCTTGCAATGTTTAAGTTATTAGGATGCTCCCGGTTATTCTCCCTGACTGGAGTGCTGAAAGGTGTAAGTGTGTAATGATTATGCCCCCGGGGTGACTCCCTGGCTGGAGTATGCACTGTAGCCTGTGCGCTAGCTGGTTCCCCTGAATTCCTGTTCGGAACACTCGCGGAATCTTGTGATAGACCATCTGTGGCCTCTCTGTTGGGGCTGGTTGCTGCCAACACCCTTCCCTTTGTCCATAGGGGTCCCCCTCCCCTCTGGAAAAGAACCAGGAGTCTCTGAAGGTAAGTCCAGTCTTGTACGCAGCTGGTCGATATGCCGTCACAGGATACGACCGTCATCCAAGGAGACCTGGTAGGACAAAGGACCTGTAACCTTGCAAACTAGAGCAGGAACCCACAAGTAACCTGGCCCGTAGTTAAGGGTCCATACAGGGGCACCCACTTGCAATTGCCTTGATGCCCTGGGTTGTGTACCCCTAGGAGGCAGTCTGTCCGGGTGCAACTGGTCAAGTTTAGTAGTCAGTTTGCGCCCCCAGCGAAGTTCAGCTGGGCTTCTTCCCGTAGAAGTGGAAGGTGTAGTGCGGTAAGCAAGGAGGAAGTCAGCCAACCTGTGATGCCAGTCCCCATAGGTCAGTTTCTTTAAAGCATCCTTGGTGATGCGGACCATCCATTCAGCCATCCCGTTGGTGGAAGGGTGGAAGGGCGCAGAGGTGGCATGACGAATCATGTTGGCCTGTAAGAAAGCTTGGAATTCGGAAGAAGTGAATTGAGGGCCATTGTCAGACACCAAAACATCCGGAAACCCGTGTGCAGCAAAAATTCCCCTTAGTACTTGGATAGTCTTTGCAGTGGTAGTGGAGGAGAAAGGTACAACCTCAAGCCATTTTGAATAGCTATCAACCAGGACCAAGAAGAATTGACCCTGAAAGGGCCCAGCGTAATCAATGTGCACCCTAGACCATGGAGACTGTGTTTCTTCCCATCTATGCACAGGAGCCTGGGGCATTTCTGGGCGTGAGCGCTGACAAAGGCGGCAAGCGTGCACCTTAGCCTCAATTTCCTTGTCTAATCCAGGCCACCATAAATGGCTGCGTGCAAGTGCCTTCATTCGTACAATGCCAGGATGACCCTCGTGAAGGGAACCTAAGACCCTAGACATCATTGAGGTAGGAATGACAACTCTGCTGCCCCACAGCAGACAACCCTGGAAAGTGGATAACTCATTCCTTTTCAGCCAGAAACTCTGAAACTCAGTGCCTGGACAACTCTCTGGCCAACCAGACAAAACCCAGGATAAGACACGAGAAAGTGTGAGATCCTTGGCTGATTCAGCAGCCACATCCCTGGTGTTTAGAGGTGATTCAGACAGTGCCTGAATTGAAAGGATGTTGATTTCCGGGGCAGGATCAGCCTCTACTACTTGTAAGGGTAATCTACTGAGGTCATCAGCATGGCCCATTTCCTTGCCAGGTTTGTGAATTAGAGAAAAGTCATAAGCTGACAGGAATATTGATCATCTGAGCATCCTGGGGGAGATGATGTGGGGGGTCTGTTTGTTAGCGGTAAACAACCCCAACAAAGGCTTATGATCATTGTAGACTGTGAAACGTCTGCCATACAAAAAATCATGGAATTTTTTAATTCCAGCAACAACAACTAGGGCCTCCCTGTCTATCTGGGCATAATTCCTTTCAGCAGAGGACAATGTTCTGGAATAATATGCAACAGGAACCTGAGTTCCATCTGGTCTGAGATGACTGAGTACTGCTCCTACTCCATAAGGAGAAGCATCACAAGCAATGCACACAGGAAGAGTTTCATTGAAGTGTGCAAGCACATTGTTGGACGTTAGTAAGGCCTTAACCTCATTGAAGTTTGCTTCCTGTGCCTGTGACCACTGCCACACTACCTGTTTGTCCAGAAGCCTATGAAGTGGTTCAGCTACATTAGCCTTATTAGGAATGAAGGAATTATAAAAATTCAAGAGTCCCAGAAAAGCTTGCAGTTCAGTTTTGGACTTAGGTCTAGGAGCTTGCAAGATAGCTTTTAATTTGGACTCAGCAGGATGAATCCCATTGGCATCAATTTTGAATCCCAGAAAATCTGTAGAAGGCACCCCAATTTTACATTTGTCCTTTTAAAGCTTGAGTCCTGTTTTCTGGAACCGCAGCAGGACAGCCCTCAATCTCTCAGCTAGATTTTGGGTGGAGTCTCCAGCAATTAAGACATCATCAAAATAGGGGCAAACCCCTGGTAAACCTCTCAAAGTATTTTCCATTACACTTTGGAAAATTCCAGGAGCTACGTTTACTCCAAATTGTAGTCTCTTAACTTTGAATGCCCCCCTATGAGTTACAATGGTTTGTGCTACAGCAGCAGCTTCATCAACAGGCAGCTGTTGATAAGCCTGTGCTAAGTCAAGCTTTGCAAAAACATGTCCCCCCTTGAGGGAGGCCAGAATATGGCTGACTACAGGTACAGGATAGGCATGTTGTTGCAATGCCTTATTGAGAGTGCATTTGTAATCTGCACAGGTGCGAATGTCCCCATTAGCCTTAAGAGGCGTGACTATGGGAGTTTCCCAAGGACTGGAGTCAACAGGTTCTAAGATTCCTTGCTGAATTAATTTGTCCAATTCAGCATCAATTTTCCCTTTTAAAGCAAAAGGTACCCTTCTTGCTTTTACTCTGATCGGAGTGACAGTGGGGTCCAACTTCAAAGAGACTGGGGGCCCTTTGTATGTGCCCAGCTGTGGGCTGAAAACATCCGCAAATTCTTTGCAGACTTCCTGTAAATCTACTGTTTACATGCTATTGAGCCCTGTAACTTGTATTCCCAAGGCCTCAAACCAATTGAGTCCTATGAGACTCGTGCGCTCACCCCCCACTATCAACACATCTAATGGACCTTCAAAATCCTTATACTGCACGTTAAGGGTGGCCTCCCCCTTAACACACACTTTGGAGTTTTGGAAGTCTGTTAGCACTATATTAGAAGGCCTAAGCTTGGCCTGAAAACCACTACCAGAGCAAATCTTTCTGAATGTGTGAATGGAAATGATTGAAAGTGCAGACCCAGTGTCTAGTTCCATGACCAATGGAATCCCTTGCAACTTCACCTTAAGTGACAATTTCTTTTTAAGTGGCTTGTGTGTGCCTGTCCTATAAATGCTTCTTCGTGAAGCACAGAAACCCACCCTGTTTTGGCTGGGGACCCTGGTACCTTTCAGGCACAATTCTTCTCGGGGTTATACCCTCTGATGGCTCAGACACACAGCTGCTATGTGGCCTTGCTTCCCACATGCTCTACAGATTACAGAACGGAACTTGCAGTCAGTCCTCTTGTGGCGACCTCTACACCTGAAGCACTTGGGTACAGGTGAAGACCTTTCTTTGCCTTCCCTCTGCTTCCCTTCTTTGGTTGGGTAGAGATGATCTACTTCTTCATCAGGTTCCTCTTCCGAGCTTCCTTGGACTCCCTCGTGGTGCATGGAAACAGCTTCTGGAGTACTTCTGAGAGGCCTCATATTCTTGATTGCCCCACTTGCTGCCTCTTCTGCAGTAACCTCTCTCAAGGCATCTTGGAACGATATGTCTTCTTTAGCGAAAAGTCTTTGCTCACATCTCGGTTTCTCAGTCCACATACAAATCTGTCTCTCAGCCTTTTCTCTAAGTCTATAAACTCACAATGCTTAGCTGCTCTTCTTAATGCAGCAATGTATTCTTTAGCTGATTCGCCAGCCCGTTGATCCCTCTGTTCAAAAGTATGTCTCCAAGCAATAACAGATAACTTGGGTTGAAAATGCTCTTTTAATAATTTCTTTAAATCTGTGTAGGTAACAGATTCAAGGGGTGCAGGGGCTACTAAATTTTCAGCGATTTCAAATGCATCTTGACCACAAACACACAGTAGGGTGGTGGCCTTTAAGCCATCTTCTCTTACTTGATTAACTCTGAAATAATTTTCTGCTCGGGCCACATAAGATTCCCATCTATCTGGATGTGTAACATCAAACTCAGAAAGTTTCCCTATCTTTGCCATCTTCAGTAAAGCAGGAAGGGTCTATCAGCCAGCTTACCTCCAATGAAGCTGTATTGGCAGGCAGTTGCTGAATTTAATGCCGTTTCCTCGCTGTCTCAGGACTCCGGGGTAAGCTTACAATTCTTTGTGTAATTGTAAGGCAATCCCACCTTCGTCGCCATTGTTGAGTCCTCGGTTAATGGCAATGACGGCTCGAGACATTCTGTGGTTTCAGGAACTCTTTATTAGTCTTCAATAGCCCCTGTTACAACTCTGAGCAGCACAAGCCTCTCAGCCTCTCTTAAAGACAAATCCCGGGCCAAAAAGCAACACTTAGGCGTGCGGCGCGCCTTGCGCATGTGCATGAGCGCTGGCGCCAGCCAGTCTGGTCCCGGGCAGCTTACAACTGCCTGGGACCATTGCAACGTCCCGAGCCTGCCTCTGCAGGCTCAGGACACAACAGGGGGGGGTCAGCAGGTCCTGGCTGTGGGAAGGCAAGGGGGTCTGGCTAGAGTGGGTGGGAGGGCTGAGACAACTCTGTGGAGGAAAGTTCCCCCCTGCCGGCTGAGCCTCTCATGCACACCATGGTCACATAGGATTGCGTAGAATGGGCGTCAGGCAGGGGGCTGGAGAAGGGCAGCTAGCAGGGGGGATCAGAGCCGCTGCCATCTCCCTTCTGCAGTGCAGCCCCATCAGCACAGGTAGAGATGGCTCTGGGATGCCCAGAAGGGAGCCCTTGCCTGGCCTAGACCCTGTCTGCTCAGCGGCTCTGATGGGGGCTACTGCTCCTGCTGCTCTGAACCCCTCAACTGGCTGGCCATGCAGGGAAGCAGGAGGAAATGGAGGGGCAGCTGCGGGTCTAAAGCCACTTCGGCTGCCCACTGGCCATAGCCGGCCCTGCCTCAGGAGCCCAACAAGGCAGTGGATCTCATGCACCGGCTGTCCAGCCTCATGGGGCAGCAGTGCCTGGATAACAGCAGGGCTGGGCAGGAGGAGATGGTGGTGGCAGTGGTGATGGCAATCCCCATATTGCCAGGCCCAGCTGGCAGCAGCTCCGGAAGCAAAGCTGTGCCGCCCATCCTTGCACTGGTGGGGGCAGCATCGAGGGAAGGCGGGCTCTGGCACACACACCCCTCACTCTTGCCGTTCCACATCATCCTGCGCACACCCTTGGCCCCTCGCCACCATTTCCCTTCCACAGCACAGCATCTTCTGGGGCTGCTGCTAGCTGGGCCTGGCAATGCAGGGATTGCCACTGCCATCTCCTGCTCAGCCTGTGTGTTGCTCAGGCTCCACTGGCCTATGAGGCCGGGCAGCCAGTGCATGAGATCCGCACCTCTTAGGTTTTTGATTACAGTGGTACTTTCCTCGACCATACAGTCTCCCTGAAAGCTATCAGTTCTAACACTGGTCACAGGTGGTTGGAGAAAAAATAATAAATCGCCATTTGATACCTGGCTTCTTCCTATGGAATCAAAATTAGCGGGTGGGTGGTTGAAGAGAGGGACAGTCAGGATTCTGCCTGCTTTATTACAGGCAAGGCTATTAACAGGCAACCCGCTCCATTTCATTAAAAAAAACTTTTTAATTTTTTTTTAATGAAATGGAGCAGGCTGCCTGTTAATAGCCTGCTGCATAATAAAGCAGGCAGAACTGCAATCGTCCCTCTCTTCAACCATTTGTTCACTAACTTGCCAAGGCCCCATGTGGCCAGATGCATCCCAGCACAGCTGGTTTATCTCCTGGTCTCAGTCCTCCTGGCCTTGCATGCTCTCTTTTCCCCAGGCACAACCCACTGCAGCACCTCCTCAGCTGTTGGCTATTCATCCAGCTCAAAGGTGGCTTCTCTGAACTGTTGGTGGTGGGCGAGGTGAGGCTGCTTTTCGTCTTCTCCAGATGGCTTTGGCAGATTCCTCCCTCACCTGCCCACCCACTCTTTTCCCTTTACTCCCCTTCTGAGCCCTCTTTGCAGTTCTGCCCACATAGCCACCAAAGCAAGAGGTGGTGTGCCAGAGCTGGAAAGCATTTCTCTGCCGCCGCAGAGCTGGATAGCTTGCCACACCCATCACCACTCAGATATGCTCGCTTCCCAAACCATTTCTTTTCTAACCTTCTTTTCAGCTCCTCTGTCACTTCCTCTGCCACTGAATGCAGTCCCACAATTAAAAAAAAGTTTGTGGGGCTAAAAAAAAAAGTTCAATCAATCAATTCAAACTTCTCATGAAAAAAAAGATCTTGTGAAGTTTGAATTGACTGATTTAACTTTTTTTTTTAGTACCATAAACTTCTTCTGTTTGTGGGGTTGCCCACGGCGGCAGAGGAAGTGACAGAGGACTGCGTTGGAGCTGGAAAGAAGAAGTTGCTTGGGTCCAATCAGGTCGGGAAGGGGGGCATTTCTGCCACTTATTAACCGGTTCTTCAAACTCAAAAGAAATTAGCTACCAATTCTACAAAACCAGTGTGGACCGTCTGAATCCTACCACTGGGTGAGGGGTTGTTGGTTCTAGGGATCTTTGCCTTTCTAATCCCATCAACTCAAAGCTTCCTGGCTCCAATCTTTCTGAAAGGATTATCAAATCTGCATTTCTACAGACCTGGTTTCTGCTTGAGGCAGAGAGACTCGGGCTTGCTTTCCTTTGGGGAAATACAATATTCTATCCTTTTTAATACCCCCCCCCCAAATATTTCCTTTTGTATAAGGGTGGGTGGGTGCTGACTTCCAACAATTGAACACATACAAATGACACAGGGAGTTGTTAATAACATTATTCTCAAGGGTGAAGCCTTACAGCTCAGTGCGGAAGACCAGGCCACTGCCTGCTAATAACCGGGAACAGATTTCATCAATCTTTTCATTTTGAGCCACAGTAAGATGCTCCTTCCAGTCTCCTACAATGCCTATAGGTGGGAAACAATCCAAGAAAACAAAATCAATGATTCCTGTTTCCTGAGCTCTTTTACAACTATTTTATTACTTCAGCAATGGAGTGCATCCTTCTTTCTTTCAGAGGGTCCCTACAGTTGGACCAACCGGTCCCCAAAGAAATTGAATATGAGGGGAGGAGTATTACAAATAGAACACCAGATCTGCATGTCAAAACGGATTGTCAATGAAATACAGGTAGTCCTCAATTTCTGTCAGAAATGGAGCCTGCCCTTTAAGGTCACATGTTTTGATGGTAGTAAAATAGGTTTTTTGCAGCAATCATTAAGTAGCTATAGTAGTCATAAAGCAAATGGTCATTAAGCAAACATAGCAGTCCTTAAGTGAACCAGTGGTTTGCAATGGATACGGTTTCACCAACAAACAGAAGTAAATACCAGTTTTGGGCAAAATGTTGTAAAGTGGCCATGTGACCATGGAACAATTAAATGGCCATAAATGTAGTCTGTTTGCCAATCTGAAGTTCAGTCATGTGACTGTGGGACGGGGGGGGGGGACTCATGACCATCATGTCAGAAGAATAATTTGGGGTTCCAATTCGAGTTGGGGCTGCACAGGAATAAATAAAAATGAGATCCAGACAGCTGCAGGAAAGAATATTTATTCCAAAATACATAACAGTTTGCATTTAGGGGCAGGCTGTAGAGAAATGGGGTACAGCAGCAGATTTTTATAGGGGGAGCTTGTCCGGAGTGACACATGCTGATTGTAGGGTGACAGTTGAGAGGTGCATCTGTGTGGGGAGGTGTATGTGGGTGTGTTTATTCTTATGAATATGCAGTTCCCCTGGGAGACATTATTTAATTAACTCTGTTTGTGTTTCCAGACCTTATCCTTTCGATATGAAGATTAGGTTTGGGTAACTTATTTCAGAGTTTGAGAAAGTTTGCTAATTTATTAACGTGGAGACACTGATTTTTAGACCATTGTGGATTCTGTTAATAGAATAGAATAACAGAGTTGAAAGGGACCTTGGAGGTCATCTAGTCCAACCCCCTGCTAAGGCAGGAAATCCTATACCATTTCAGACAAATGGTTGTCTTATCACTTCTTAAAAACATCCAGTGTTGGATGTTAACTCTGTTGTTAACTCAAATCCTAGCTACCATCTCAGAAGAAAAGATTCAACTTTTTACCTTCTTTTCTAAATAATAATAATAATAATAAAAATCACAAATTGTGACTGCCATCTAATGGACTAAGTAGAAAAAAACTCTTGCATGTACAATAAATTTCTGATTTGAAACTCTCCTGCTTTATATAATCCACATCCATTTCCCCCAACTATTTGGCACCTTTTCCTCTGATTTTTGGCTGCATCCTTTGTGGTTGAAAACAACACTAGCAGTAGAATATATAAGGAAAAATCCTGTCAAGCATGTACAACCAGATGTTTCAACTCTGCTAATTCATGTATGCTGATAAATAATTAAAAATGAACATGCACCCTAAAATGCATCCATTTTTTTAATCAATCAAGTTATTCACTGCCAATTTCTGTTCTGGACTGTTCTATCCTGAAATGTCTAGATTTGCAAACTGCACAACTTACAGTGTTCCTTCGCAACTCTTCTGAAGTCGATGCCTGTGCTTTGCACTTGTTTTTTCACCACTATTTCTAAGAACTTCATCAGCCTCTTGTATTAACATTCAGCTTCAGTTCTGTTCCTCACCTTTTCTTATGAAGGGTGACAAGGCTTGGTTCATCACAAAAGCAGGCAAAGTGCAGTAATTGACCATGGAGTTGATTTTCATTGTCTCAAATTTTGTATGTTCAATGACCTCCTTCAGAATTGGATCTGGGAGTTTGAAGTCGAGGAACTGAGTGATTTCTCTGGCTGGATCCTAGGAGAAATATGGAGAGAATTCTGGCTATGTTTTGATGCTTTCTTATCTGAAATGGTTAGAAAATGGAACTTGCTCTTTTCTTGTTTAGTCCAGAGGCAATCCACAATAAGTGCGCTCCAACAAAACGAGCATTTTTATATCTCATCTTTGGGCCCTAACCAGAGCACCTTGTATACATTTCTCTTGTAATCATTTGTATTTTATCTACATTTGCCTATATTATACCATCTACAGCAGTGGTTCTCAACCTTTTTAATGCCGCGACCCCCAACTGGTCGTAAGTCAAGGACTACTCAACTGGTGCAGCACCGTTTGCAGAATGGGACTTTTGGCGGGCTCAGCAGGGCAGAGACAGCCTGGAGAATTCCTATTGGCTTTTGAAAGCCAATAGAATTAGACTCTATTCAAGAGAGTCTATTCTATTGGCTTTCAAAAGCCAATAGAATAAAAGGGAGTAGCACAGCTAAGGAAAAGGGGGGAAAAATGGCGGACTGCATTGTTTGGTGACCCCCGTGAAATGGTTGTTCGACCCCAAATGGGGTCCCGACCCACAGGTTGAGAACCACTGATCTACAGTATAGCATTGGCTTCCAGTTTCTTTCCAGCTGTGATTCAGAATGCTGATTATCATCTCTAAAACCCCACATGTTACAAGGCCAGTTTATCTATGGGATCACCTTCCTATCCATCATGTTGAATAGGATGGGTGTATCCAGATCCCTTCCCTTACATGTCATCTAGTGCAGGGCTTTTCAATCTTATCACAGATTGTACCACTTTTAGGACATGACAATATTTGACTACCACTATTGCTTAGCAAGGTGTCAAAAACTTGATGACTGAAAAAAGGGTGGGGATTTTGGGTTTTACTGATTGGATTCATTTGTTGTTATAGAAATGGCTAGTTTATAATATTATGGAAAAATAAAAAGTTGAGGTTCAATGTTAATGCTTCCTTCTACTGCAACAAAGGAAGTCTGTTCTTTTTCTCTTCTCCACCTCACTTCCCCCCCTTTTTTGCTCCCCACTGTTTCTTACTATTTGCTTTTGTATTTTTGTATTTTATTCTATAATCTAATAAAATATTACAAACAGTAGTAAAAAAGTTAAAAAGTACCAGTTTTAATTTCTTTCATGGCTGTTCCTTTGCTGAATCACTTTCCCTTTGCACTGACAAATGTATGATGAATTTATCAATTTTATTAATATGCACCACTACCAGCTAGTTCAGGAGTCTTCAAACTTGGACCTTTTAAGACTTGTGGACTTCAACTCCCAGAATTCCTCAGCCATCATGGCTGGATAAGGAATTCTGGAAGTTGAAGTCCACAGGTCTTAAAGTTGCTAAATTTGTAGACCAGGGGTGTCAAACTCAATTTCATTGAGGGCCCCATCAGCATTGCGGTTGCTCTCGGGAGGGGGCTGTGGTGTGTGGCCAGGGGGGGTGCAGCCTACTGGGTGGGCATGGATGGAGTGGGTGTGGCCTACTGGGCGGGCATGCCCAGCTCTACATCATTCGCATCAAGGGTGCCTGTGGGGGCCTGGGCAGGAGTGGGACAGATTTGAGGGTCTCTGGCAGAAAGGGGTGGGACCAGGGAAAGTGCCAAAACATGGTCCACGAGAGTAGCCTCACTGTTCCTCTCATACCATGTGGGGGGGGACTCGATGATGGTGCAGGCTGCCGGGAGCCCTGGACAGCAGAGGTCAAATGCCCAGCCTGGCCCTTGAGCACCCACGGCACCAAGCCCAGCCCCACTTTCCCAAAGAGGCACCCAATTGCACTTACCTCCTCCTCAAGTCTGCTGCTATTGTGCTTGCTCTCCTTAGCCAGGTTGCTCATGATGGGTACGAGGGCAAAGTCAGAGGGAGGCCCATTCCCTCTCCAAGGAAGGAGACCCAGCTTTGTATCCAAAGCTTCCTTAGCAAAAGGATGGGAGACCCCCAGGATAGACAAGGAGGAGGGGGCAAGGGGATGGTGAAAGGGTAGCAGGGCAGGACTAAGGCTGGACTTCCCTTAGAACTTCCCTCTCCTTCTTTCCTTCCTTCCTTCCTAAGTACAGAGTGGTCGGAAAATATTTGAGATGAGGGAGGGAGAAAAACAGGAAAGAAATGCATCTGGGGAGGTGTCACCCTTCGTGAGGAATGAAGAAATGCACCATCGCCTGGAAGTGGCCAGCACATGGCCCTCACCTACTTCACATATCTGGCTTGGTGGGCTCTGGTGGAGGGGATGCCATGAGTAGCGTGAGAGTCAATGTTATCTGAGCAATGCCATCCAGCCCACAGCCTGCCTGGTTTCGGCAGGCAGCAGGACACTTTCCTCACACCACCAAGAGACTGAGCCAAGCGATGCGAAGCTCACCAGCTTTGCAGCTTGGTGCCTGCTGAAACTTGGCAGGCTGGGGGCTAAGCAGCATTGCACTTCTCACCAGATTCGCACTACCCGGCTCAGCTCTTGGCGCTGTGAGGAGAGCGTCCCACTGCCTGCTGAAACCCCTCCCCCAGAGCCCATCTATTGCAGAAAATCACAGAACTCAGACCGTGGAATCAAAAGAAGTTGCTTTATTTTGTGCAAAAGGTTCATAGCACTATATTTGTGAAACTTCAACTGAACAGCTTCTCATAACAAAACACAAATTTATATATTCTCATCAGAAACAGCAAAATATGGAAATGTAACAGGTAGCATGGATTGGTTGCTTTGAATCACAGCCCCCTTACAGCATACAGCCCCCCTTTCCGTAACTAACATATCTTGCTTAAACTTCTGTCTAAATTTCCTGTAATGTACTTGTGGTTAGCTACAGATGAGACATAGTAACATATATGGTTAGCTGTAGCAGAGCTTCAAACTTTAGCACTTCTGTGCAACCAACAAATGAACCTGTGGTTTTGACATCTTTCACTTCCTTTTGTTCTTCTTCTAACTAATACATGTATTTAAAACTCATGTTCCACTTTATAACTCATGTCTTGTCTTATGACTGTAATACACACATTTAAGTTTCATGTTTCACTCCATGACCCAGGTCCTCCTGCCTTACATCAAGCCGGATATGTGAAGTAGGCGAGGGCCATTTACTGGCCATTTCCAGGCGCATTTCTTCATTCCTCACAAAGGGTGATGCCTCCTCAACATGCACCCAAGGGGTGGGGCCAGCGCAGCAGAGGCCATTCCCTCACTGTTTCCAGGATGGCTTCGTGGGCCACATGAAACCACTTCGCGGGCTGCATCCGGTCCCCGAGTCTTGTGTTTGACATGTCTGTTGTAGACCCATGAGCTAGCTGGTTGGCCCTTCTTAGCTCTCCTTCCACTGTGTAGAATCTCATCCCTGTACCCTTAAAGACACAAGAATCAAGTGCAAAGCAAGAAAGGCTCACAAAATAAAGAAACACATAAACTCTCTTTTTCCCTCTTTAAGCTGCCTCAGGGGTGTCATGTGTCATAATGTTGCAATCCCAGACTGAAAGGCTCTGGCAATTGAGAAAAGCTTTAGCTTTAAAATTAAACCTGTTTCCCTTCAAAGAAAACTTTCTAAAAACCATAGACAGACTCAAGATAAGGGGATAAAACTAATTACATTTGTTTAAATGGATTAAACCTACAGAAGTCAACACTTTGGACTCATGCTAGCCTAAAATACAGACTAAAATATTCCAAAAACCAAAGAACACAAAGGAGCCTCTGAATTACAAAATGCTGTAAAAACTGTACAAAAAAACTTACGGTAACCCAATAAAATCTGCCAGCTGATCCAGAACTAAATAAACCCACCTCCTTTCTGACATGCCGGCTTTTCATTTCATCAGCACTGGATGCATTTTTCTGGCTGGAGAAAATGAACCAGGGGCCCTTTTCTTCCAGCAACAGCTGCTGTTTCTCTGTCCCCATTTCCTCCTTGCTGGCTGACTTCTCCTTCTCTTTCCATGTTGTCTTTTTTCCCTTTTCCTGCCCAAATCATCTCCTTTTATAGCCTCTCCTCTTCTCCCCCCTGCCCTTTTCTTCAGTTCATCTTCAGCTCTATGTTGCTTCCGGAAGCACCAATCAGCTGGAGCCCTGCCTGCTCCTGGGGTATCTGCTGAGCCCAGACAGTCCGGCAGCTGCAGATGCCTCTCCCTCAGGCTTGGCTCGCTTCGGCTCGTTCCCCTCCTCTGCTACACTTGGCCAGCAGTTGCGTACTACCTGCCATGTGGCAAAGTACCACAGGTGGTACACATATCACTGGTTGAAAAGCCCTGATCTAGTGGGACCAGGAAGAATGCCTTCTGAGTAGTAGCCCTTACCCTAGGAAGCACCCTGCCACCCAAGATCTGGCAGGCCCCTCACCCTCCTAGCTTTCTGGAAGACTTAAAAAGATGATTGCCCGTCCATCCTCAGATATGAATCTGGTTATGGCTTCTTCTGTATTCAAGAATATTGGTTTACGACACTAGGAATTGAGATTTTATTGTTTTGAGGTTTTTTTAAGTGTTCTTGTTACTGTTGCTCTGAACTGCTGAGAGCTATGGCTCATAAGATGGGCCATGCAGAATGAACTTTCCTTAGGCCCTACCACTTGTGTTAAGTCCTCAGCGAAATGGCAATGACGCAAGAGACGGTTGCAGTTCTCAGGAGCCTCTTTATTAGTGTAAGCATACTGGTTACAAGACGCCGACAACGCCCAAGTCTCCCTGCTCCTTTTATAGGCGATCCTCGGGCCAAACTGCAACATTTGGTGCGCTTGCACTTCGCGCATGCACGCGAGTGCTGGCGACAGCCAGTCTGGTCCCGGGCAGCTTGCACCTGCCCGGAACCGTTGCAATGCCCCGAGCCTGCCTTCACAGGCTCAGGACATAACACCCCTTCCCCCCCGGCTAAGACTATAATCATACAAATAGTAATACATAGCCCAATTTTACATTTGTCCTTCTTGAGTTTGAGGCCCGTTTCCCTGAACCTCAGCAGAACAGCCCTTAATCTCTCAGCTAAGTTATGTGTAGAGTCTCCAGCAATTAAGACATCATCAAAATAGGGGCAAACCCCTGGTATACCCCGCAGTGTGTTTTCCATTATGCTTTGGAAAATTCCAGGAGCAACATTTACTCCAAATTGTAACCTCTTTACCTTGAATGCCCCCCTGTGGGTCACAATGGTTTGAGCTATAGCAGCAGCATCATCAACAGGCAACTGTTGATATGCCTGAGCTAGGTCAAGCTTTGCAAAAACACGCCCCCCCCCCTTGAGGGAGGCCAGAATATGACTGACCATGGGGACAGGATAGGCATGTTGCTGCAATGCCTTATTCAGAGTGCATTTGTAATCTGCACAGATGCGAATGTCCCCATTAGCCTTAAGAGGCGTGACAATGGGGGTCTCCCAAGGGCTGGAGTCAATAGGTTCTAAGACTCCTTGCTGAATCAATTTGTCCAATTCGGTGTCAATTTTACCTTTCAAAGCAAAAGGAACCCTTCTTGCTTTAATTCTAATAGGGTTGACAGTGGGGTCTAATTTCAGTGACACAGGGGGTCCTTTGTACGTGCCCAGCTGTGGGCTGAAAACATCTGCAAATTCTTTGCAGACTTCCTGTAGGTCTACTGTTTGCAAGCTATTGAGCCCTGTGACATGTATTCCCAAGGCCTCAAACCAATCGAGTCCTATGAGACTCGTTCGCTCACCCCCTACTACTATTACATCTAATGGACCTTCAAAATCCTTGTACTGCACGTTAAGGGTGGCCTCCCCCTTAACACACACTCTGGAGTTTTGAAAGTCCGTTAACACAATGTCGGAAGGCCTCAGCTTGGCCTGAAATCCGCTGCCAGAACAAATCTTCCTGAACATGTGCATGGAAATGATTGAAAGTGCAGACCCCGTATCCAGTTCCATAGCCAATGGAACCCCTTGTAACTTCACTTTAAGTGACAGCTTTTTCTTAATGGGCTTCTGTGTGCCTGTCCTATAAATGCTTCTTCGCGAAGCACAGAAACCCACCCTGTTTTGGCTGGGGACCCTGGTACCTTTCAGGCGCAATTCTTCTCGAGGTTGTACCTTCTGACGGCCCAGACACACAGCTGCAATGTGGCCCTGCTTCCCGCATGCTCTACAGATAGCAGAGCGAAATCTGCAGTCGGTCCTCTTGTGACGACCTCCGCAACCGAGGCACTTGGGGACAGCTGAGGAGCTTTCCTTCTGCTTCCCTTCTTTTGTGGGGTAGAGACGGTCTACTTCATCGTCAGGATCCTCCTCTGAGTTCCTTTGGACTCCTTCCTGGTGCACGGACACAGCTTCTGAAGTACTTCTGATCGGCCTCATGTTCTTGATGGCGCCACCTGCTGCCTCTTCTGCAGTAACCTCTCTCAAGGCATCTTGGAATGATAAGTCTTCTTTAGCGAAAAGTCTCTGCTGCAATTCTCTATGTCTCAGTCTGCATACAAATCTGTCTCTCAGCCGTTCTTCTAGATCTTTGAACTCGCAGTATTTAGCGGCTTTTCTCAGCGCAGCAATGTACTCTTTAGCTGATTCTCTGGGCCGCTGGTCCCTCTGTTCGAAAGTGTGGCGCCAAGCGATGATGGACAACTTGGGCTGGAAGTGTTCCTTTAGTAGTTTTTTTAGATTCTAGAGGTGCAGGTGCTGCTATATTTTCAGCGATCTCGAATGCGTCTTGACCGCAAATGCACAGCAGGGTGGCAGCTTTTAAACTATCTTCCCTTACTTGATTGACTTTAAGATAGTTTTCTACCCTTGCTACGTAGGACTCCCATCTTTCCGGATGCGAGACGAATTCTGAAAGTCTTCCAACTTTTGCCATTTTTGTAGTACAGGAAGGGTCTATCAGCCAGCTTACCCCCGATGTTCGCTGAATTGGTGGGCAGCTACTGAGTTTAACGCCGTTCCCTACTGCTCAGGACTCCAGGGTAAGCTTATAACTTGTCTGCAGTCGTTGTAAGGCATCCCACCTTCGTCGCCAGTGTTAAGTCCTCAGCGAAATGGCAGTGACGCAAGAGACAGTTGCAGTTCTCAGGAGCCTCTTTATTAGTGTAAGCATACTGGTTACAAGACGCAGACAACGCCCAAGTCTCCCTGCTCCTTTTATAGGCGATCCCCGGGCCAAACTGCAACATTTGGTATGCTTGCACTTCGCGCATGTGCGCGAGTGCTGGCGACAGCCAGTCTGGTCCTGGGCAGCTTGCACCTGCCTGGAACCGTTCCAATGCCCCGAGCCTGCCTTCACAGGCTCAGGACATAACAGCTTGTATTTGTTATCTCCTATCTCACGCAAATGTATCCTATGTGTATGTGCGCACATAAGCAGCTTACTTCTTTTATGTCTTCATAAAAGACATACAGGACTGGGTGGCTGTTCTTCACCTCCCACCAGCCTCGGACATGCTCAAACCATGAGCCCCAGGCAACTGCAAAAAAAAAAAAATGACAAGAGAATCTTGATTTACCTCACTATTCTTTCTGCTTTGTAACTCTAGGCTCTACCACCTTTCCCCTCAATATGGCTTTCATGGGTGATGAACTATCTTGGTTGAGAATGATGGAAACTATAGTTCTTGGGGAAATAATACCCTTCAGCTTCTCGAATTTAAGGGAAAAATCATTAACCATTTTTTCTCCAGAAGTCATAAAATTATCTTTGGTACAGAGGGATCCATACTTCTTTTCCAAGAGTAGTTTGGTAGCTATACTTCATGTTTTCTGTAGGCCCAATGGTGACTGCCATCCAAAATTTCCTTATGGCGACAAGGATGGCAAGTAAATTTAATAAATTAAATTGATGGTGATGGCATAATCACATATTACTGCTGGGGATTCAGCAAACAATTAGCTCCCACATGCTTTTCATAACTATTATTTTTTGGCTTCCACCTACTTTTTCCTGTAAGGAAGTTCTCTACAAACTGATCCCAGTTCCCTGGCTCCGGCAATGCCTGGTTCATGCGGTGGAAATGGAAATAAGAAACAATGGTGTCCTTAACATTCCTAGCTACATAAATAACCTGCAGAAAGAACAGAAAAATCATAAAAACTCTAGGATAAGATGTTCATATGCAAATGCATACATATATCTATGTGGTTTCTAAGAGTTGACACTTACTTGATGGCACATAATCAAATCATATGCATATACCTACACATACACATTCACACAAATACACGTCTTGCTCTGTCTTATGTAATTCCTATTCACTGCCTCTTTTCCAGCACATAAAATTATCCTAATCTGTCCAAACTTCAAACGCTGCCAAATTCAATATATTAAGCCTCTCACTTTTATGTTCCTACATTTCCTCTTCTTATGAGCATATAAACTCTTGGTTTAGTTTAGGAAGCTGAAAAGTGTATTGAGGCTGAATTCAGATGAGAATTAAGATTTGCTTTCCTTTATAAGGGGCAGAAGGAATGACCCTGAAGACAGGAGGAAGATCCTCTACTAAGATATTGGTTAGATAACAGAAATTTGAGTCTGGAACAGAATGAAACCCGAGAAAACATCTCAGACATGATTGTCCCTGGTTCTCATGTAGATAAAGAAAGGGAAGATGGAAGTACATTCAGACTTCCAAAATTCTATTACCATAACCTTATAACAAAAGTAGGATTGGCCTGCATGACTTTTGTTTTCTTATCAAGTCTGCCTTGAAAAACTGAGATTCCATCAACCATATTGCAGTTGTTCTAACCTTGCAATCCCAGAAGGAAGGTGGGAGAAGCTGGACTGGGAGGTGAGATTTCAGGGTGCGTGGGGAAGGCATTGCCTCTGCCATTTCCAAACCTGCAAGATGGGTGGGTGGGTGGGTGGGAGAGGGATGGACATTATTCAGGTTCATGGTAAGGAAAATCTTTATCATCAGCCCCATGAAGCAGTACCGTGTTACTCACCTGAAGATATGGGTTTTATAGGAAACAAGTCTATGAAGGGAATCCGTTCATATATGGGAGCCCTTGCACATTTCTGTTTGTCTCCTCCATGCTGTATCATGTCCACTATTTCTTGCATCCAGGTAGTCCCTGATATGAGAAACGTGGAGAACAGATTGATCAATCTAAAGATTGGGTTCCTGTTCCTTGATCTTTCGACTTTAGGCTTCGTACTTCTTCCCCCAAAGCTATTTTGTCATGCTCTTCCACATCTCCTCCCCACTTACCTGTTTTGGGATAAGTGCAAATGAGAAGGTCATCAGGCTGGGCTTTAAAATTCCTTAAGAACTCCAGGTTTGCAGCAGTACTATCAAGTAAAGAGATTCCTTCAACTTCCACCAGTTTTGAACGTTTGAGTAACCTTGGATCAAACTCTTTCAATGCTCTTCTTAAAAGCTCCATGATGAATGGAAAAGCCAGGAAAAGGGAGTTTATGACCTAGGGAGATGTGATCACAAATCTTTGGAGTTCAGTGTTCCAGCTTTGCAAAGATTCTGCTCCAGAGTTCCTTTTGAACGAGAGTGTCATGTTTGCGTCTTGCACTATATAATTCTTGTCTGTCTCCACCCACTTTCTCTTTTGTTCCTTAAAATTTCTGCAAGGGCTGGAAATTTGATATGCATATTACACACAGGAAAAACCTCCTGAATAAGCTGATAAGAATTAACACACACTGATCTATAGGAATGACACATTTTATGTGCAGTTCCTGTAGATCAGTGATTCTCAACCTTGGCAATTTAGAGACATTGGACTTCAGCTCCCAGAATTCCCTGGCACATATGTCAAACCATGTTAAATTTGCCAAGGTTGAGAAACACTGTATAAATAAAATTGATGGGAATGGAGGAAGTGCCCTGACATGTCGCCACAAGTCCGATTTATATACGGTTTCCTTCTCCTGCCCTAGAAGCCAGAAAGGAGCCTTGACTTTAGATTAGGAAGTTTGGACTCAGGTCAATCAGATCCGCAGAGAGACTCATCTCTGGGTGGAGGGGAATTAAGAAAGTCAAGATGGTGTCCATAATTGAACCCCATGAGAACATCATCGTCAATCTGACAGGTGAGCATTTTTTAATCCTGTCTGACTGGTAGTGGATGAGCTGTACTTCTATGGCAATAGGAAGAGAATGAACAGAAAAGCTTCTTGTGCCTTATGTAGTTACAGCCGAGGATTGATGGTGCTCTGTAGATCAGAGTTAAAATGTGCCGTGGAATTCTAAGAGAAAGGGAGTTAGGGAGGGAGAGAGAAATGAACAGGACACCCCAAAACCTGATATATGATGGTCTATATGTCGCTTTGGCATCACTTTTGCCTAATTACCCCACGGATTCCATAGCAGTGTTCCAATATCTCAGGGGCTGCCACAAAGAAGAGGGGATCAACCTATTCTCCAAAGCATGTGAAGACAGGACAAGAAGCAATGGATGGAAACTAATGAAGGAGAGAACCAACTTAGAACTAAGGAGAAATTTCCTGGCAATTAGAACAATTAATCTGTGGGACAACTTACCTCCAGAAGTTGTGAATGCTCCAACCCTGGAGGTCTTTAAAAAGAGATTGGACAAGCATTTGTCTGAAATGGTAAAGAGTTTCCTGCTTGAGGAAGGGGTTGGACTAGAAAACATCCAAGGTTCCTTCCAATTCTGATATTCTGTTATTCTGTCTTCCTATAACTTTTAAGCCAATTTACCTCTATCTCAATTGTAGTGTAACTCAGATTTCAGATTCTGGAATTTTTGCACATCTATATTTGTGGGAAATTCTTGCTCTCCTCCCATCTTTCCCTTCTGGAATTCCCTCATACATTTCACCTTATTATGGTAGCCATGGTTAACCCATCTAGTCTGTGTCTAGCTGATTGGGGAATTCTGGGAGTTGAAGTCTTAAAGGTGCTAAGCTTGAGAAACAGTCGTCTGTTTCTGTTGGTTTCATTCCCCTTGCTTCTTTAAGCAGCTCCAATCGACTCCTTTTTTCATTCCTCAAGAATGACATTTGTTTCTTCTCTACCCCACCGGATACAGTATAGCTATAATAATCATCATCATCATCATCATCATCATCATCATCATCATCATCCAGTCTGAACATCTGGCTGACTGTGCGATGATTAATAATAATAATAATAATAATAATAATAATAATAATAATAATAATAATAATAATAGTAACGACAGCAGAATAGACGAGAAAGAACTGGAGAAGATAACAAAATACAAAGACCTACAAATAGAAATAGAAAGACTGTGGCAAAAGCAAGCAAGGGTAGTACCAATAGTAATAGGCTCCTTGGGTACAATCCCAAAAGAACTGCAGCACCACTTGAACACCATTGGCATTGACAAATTCTATCTCAATTATAGTGAGGCAGAATGGAAAATACATATAGTAACAGAACATATTAGTAGAAGCTTGCTTGCTTTGATGTTGTAAGCTTTAGGAAAAGGGAACTTTCCTTCATGTAATCATGAGCTGTGTGACCTGTGTGCTAGTTATTTACTGTAACCGAAAATATTGTAAGAAGGGTACTGAAAGTAAGACAGTGGTGGCGAAACTATGGCACGCGTGCCAGAGGCGGCACACAGAGCCCTCTCTGTGGGCACGCGCCATCGCCCCAGCACACGTGGTCTCTAAAGGTTTGCCATCACTGGCCTAAGGCCAGCCAGCCTGGAGCTGCCATTGGGGAGCCCACCATCCCACCCCCCAGAGACCCCCTGGATCTCCCCCAACCCTGCCAGTCTCCCACAGGTGTCCCTCCCCATAAGCAATATCAAGGTGGCCATGCTCACCCCGGCCATGCCCACCCAATCTGCTATGACTACTGCAGCCACACCCATCCAGTGGCCATGCCCACCCAGTCTGCCAAGCCCACTGTAGCTGCACCCGCCGAGTGGGTCACACCCACCCGGCACCTGGTGATACATAAGTGGATTTTGGGTTGCAGTTTGGGCATTCGGTCTCTAAAAGGTTCGCCATCACTGGTGTAAGATAATATCCTTATAGAGAAATATATTATGATATAAACTTCTCCTTTTCCCCACCCCTGCGATGCAGACTTCTCCTTTCCCCACCCCTGCTATAGCTGATAAGGGTAACGCCTCAGGCGGGGCTGGGGTTGCAAAAGGGATAAAACCTATTCCCTGGGAGTAGCCTGGGGTTCAGAATGTCATGCTAATGCTCTGAACCTTTGCGGTCAAATAAACCTGTTTTCTCCAACCCTTTGTGGTCTTGTCTTCTGAATAAATATTAAAAATTTCTACTACAGTAATGTAGCTCAGATTTCAGATTTTGGAATTTTTCCACATCTATATTTGTGGGAAATTCTTGCTCTCCTCCTTTAGTTTGTGGGACTAAAAAAAAAGCTCAATCAATCAATTCCAACCTCATAAAAAAAAAGATCTCGCAAAGTTTGAATTGATTGATTGAACTTTTTTTTTTAGTACCACAAACTTCTTTTGTTTGTGAGGCTGCCCACGGCGGCAGAAAAAATGACGGAGGACTGTGTTGGAACTGGAAAGAAGGTGTCACATGGGTCCGATCGGGGGCGGGAAGGGGGGCGTTTCTGCCACTCATTAACCAGTTCTCCGAACTCAAAAGAAATTAGCTACCAGTTCTACAGAACCAGTGTGAACCGTCTGAATCCTACCACTGGGTGAGGGGTTGTTGGTTCTAGGGATCTTTGCCTTTCTAATTCCATCAGTTCAAAGCTTCCTAGCTCCAATCTTTCTGAAAGGATTATCAAATCTGCATTTCTACAGACCTGGTTTCTGCTTGGGGCAGAGAGACTCGGGCTTGCTTTCCTTTGGGGAAATATAATATTCTGTCCTTTTTAATATGCCCCCAAATATTTCCTCCTTTCCCGTATGGGGGTAGGTGGATGCTGATTTCCAATAATTGAACACATGCAAATGACACAGGCAGGTGTTAATAACATTATTCTCAAGCCTTACAGCTCAGTGTGGAAGACCAGGCCACTGTTTGCTAATAACCGGGAACAGATTTCCTCTATTTTTTCATTTTGAGCCACAGTAAGATGCTCCTTCCAGTCTCCTACAATGCCTATAGGTGGGAAACTGTTATGTCCCGAGCCTTGCAAACAGCTCGGGCGTTTGCAGGCAGTCCCGGGCAGGTGCAAAGCTGCCCGGGACCAGACAGGCTGTCGCCAGCGCCGTGCGCATGCGCGGGTGCTGGCGCGGGAAAAGTATCATATTTACCCAGGAAGCGTCTATATAAGAAGCTGGGAGGTTTTGGGAGCTGCTGAAGCCATCTACTTGTAAGCTGAATGCTGAATAAAGGAAACTGAGAACTTCAACTGCTTCTCGTGTCTGCTTCCCGCCAAGGACTCAACACTGGCGACGAAGGTGGGATGCCTTACACCGCCTGGAAAGGAAGAAGTGTAAGCTTACCCAAGTGAGTCCTGAGCGGCGGAACGGCGTCGACTCGGCAGCTACCCGCCAATCCAGTGCGCATTCGGGGGTAGGCTGGCTGATAGACCCGTCTTCTGAAGATGGCGAAAATCGGAAGGCTTTCGGAATTCGACGTCTCACATCCAGAGCGGTGGGAGTCATACGTAGCCAGGGTGGAGAACTACTTCAAGGCAAACCAAGTGAGGGAAGAGAGCTTGAAGGCTGCCACCCTGCTTTGTGTTTGCGGTCAAGACGCCTTCGACATTGCAGAAAACCTTGCAGCACCTGTTCCAGTAGAGTCTGTCAGCTACGCAGATCTGAAGAAGCTACTGAAGGAGCACTTCCACCCCAAGATGTCCATCATCGCATGGCGCCACACCTTCGAGCAGAGGGATCAACGGCCCGGTGAGTCGGCCAAAGAATTCATCACCGCATTACGGAAGGCCACCAAGCACTGCGAGTTCAAAGACCTCGAAGAACGACTGAGGGACCGATTCGTGTGCGGGTTAAGGCATCGAGATCTACAACAAAGACTTTTCGCTAAAGAAGAATTGTCCTACCAAGATGCCTTAAGGGAAGTCACCGCAGAAGAAGCAGCAGGCGGCGCTGTCAAGAACATGCGGCCGATCAGAAACAGTCCAGAGGTTGCATCCGTGCACCAGGAAGACGCCCAAAGAAACTCCGAGGAGGATCCGGACGAGGAAGTCGACCGTCTCCACCCCACGACGGAAGAAAAACAGAAGGGAAGCTCTTCAGCTCCGCTCAAGTGCATCGGCTGTGGAGGTCGCCACAGGAGAACCGACTGCAAGTTCTGCTCCGCTACCTGCCGGGCATGCAGCAAACAAGGACACATTGCAGCTGTGTGTCTGGGCCGACGAAAGGTACAACCTCAGGAAGAACTGCGCCTGAAAGGTACCAGATTTCCCAGCCAGAATAGGGTAGGTTTTTGCGCTTCACGAAGAAGCATCCTTAGGACAGGCACACACAAGCCCATTAAGAAAAAGCTGTCACTCAAGGTGAAGCTACAAGGGGTTCCATTATCTATGGAACTAGACACAGGGTCTGCCCTTTCAATTATCTCCTTGCATACATTTAGGAAGATTTGTTCCGGTAGTGGAACTCGGCCAAGTTAAGGCCTTCTGACATTGTGTTAACAGATTTTCAAAATTCAA